GGGGGGGGTGGAGGGTGGAGGGAAGGCGGAATCGGCGGAGGAGGAGGAGAAGAGCAGTGAGGGCTAAATGAGTTTGTAACCCTCCATCCTCCACCTCCCTCCAAATGATAAAGTGGCAGCACTGGTGATGAAAGGAACCGGTACACAGGTATGGACGAATATAAGTGGGGGGATGAGTCAAGAGCGACATCATGAAATATGGCAGTGATGGCTTCGGTGGTAGCGAGAACGGCGTGTCCTTTTAGCAAACTCACGAGCGGCAGAGGGCGCTAGAGAGAGAGGGAGAGAGGAAATGGGAGGGAGATGGAGTTATCGGTAGCTTTTCAGTGTCGGCTTTATCGCAAACCATTTGGTTGGTCTGATAGAGTGCACTGAGAGGTGGAAAATCAACACCTCCGCAAAGGATTTGCATCCGCCTACACCGTCTGGAATTAAACTTAACGATAACCTCAGAATTCCCTTTTAGTCAGTGCCCACTGCAAAAAAATTTAAGAATACATGGTTAGACTGTGATTGGTTGCTGTGATGGCGGTCTTTTGTTATGACTGTGTGTTAAAATGTGGTGGCACAAATTAATCTTCCTGGGCGGTAGACAAAAGCGACCCCCTTTTAACTGTAGTCCAGCCTAAGAGGATGTTCTAATTATATTTGCCACTGTCAGACCAAAATGAATGCTCTCATCTGTTCTACTGAATACATTTTATTATACAAGTGTCCAAACAAAAGCTTTAAACAGATATACTACTTATAATTCATTTAAGTAAACCTAAATTTGCTCTTCTTCTAGCGCGAAATTATTGTGGCGTGTTTGAAAGTTATGGAGGATATCGGAGTTGAAGTTCATGATGTATCCGTCGATGGTAGGTATTCAAAAAGAATTTATTTTTAATACAACATTTATACAAGCATTATTAACAAATTAACTGCAGATGCTATGCTATTTTCCCCTGGTCCCAACAGGCCTAAAAGTATGCCATGTGTGACGAGAATGGGGATCGGATCCCGTGACGGTTTAGGAGGTAGTAGGGCTTATAAAAACAAAATAGCGATCGCACGTCAAAGCGGCTAATAATCACGCCGACGGTGCCTCACATATCAGCAATTTTTAACATCGCAGGCCTAACGGTGAGGCTTCAAGGCACCTAGCATCGCCTATTTTCGAATCAAGTATTGCTGCCTTTGACCAATGCGCTTTTGCCTACACAATCATAAAGTAAAATCCAGTGTGGACAATTTATTTGCCTTTTTTGGCAATAAAACGGCAAAATGCGAGATCATGGACCAATTTTTGAAGCCACGATAGTTACAGCTTTATTTATTCACAAAACCTCCTTTTTTATTGCTTTGTAAATACACATTTGAGAGTTTATATGCAACAAGCCTTGAGGGTGAACACACAATCTATGCTGAGCTGAAGCATCGGGTCACAATTGTTAAATTTAACATGTCATTTTGCAATATTCTGCACACTGATTTGGTGGGTTAAATTAACTCCCCACGACCAGATTATCTTCCTCCTGATACAATCTATCTGCTCATATTGCCGTTTTATTGTGGTCTATGCATCAAAGTATGTAAGTTTGATAATATCATCTATGTGAAAGTGTCTAAAAATGGATTTGGATTGTGAAACACTCCATTTCGCATTAAAAAATGAATTGGTGCTTTGACTATTTTGACCCTCTTTTTGATTGCATTTACCACGCTTCATCACCAAGTAGGTGCTTCATTTTAGGCATACTTAGCGGACGTCTAAAGTGTATCCTTGGTTTGTTCTTCAACCTCTCGAAATTTAAGCAAAAACTTCGAGAGTGTCAATCACATCCGAAGTCAGTTGCCCAATCTGGAATTCCACAAAAGTCTGCAGACTCGCCTCTCACCTCGACCAGTCTGGACAGTCCAGATAGTGATAGACGCTACGTCACTCCACCTAGCTCCGTGCAGAGCAGTGTCCAGCACCAGGCACGACCCCTGAGTGACCCTCAGGCCCTGAAAAAGCCCATTGACTCCAAGAGTCGTCTACCTGTCTTCCGTCAAAATCGAACCAAGTTCGCCTAAATATGTTTGCTACTTATTTTTAAATAAGTACAACGCATAAAACCAATATGGATTTGCAAATGTGCCTATTTTTTGGCGTACCATCCCTCAAAAAGTGATTGGCTACTTTTCAGCCAATAGAAAAGCCGCACCCAACAGCACCCATATTCTTAATGTTTTTCGTAGAACTTTTGCCATTTTTGCGTTTTACTTTGCCAAGAAATTGTCTGTCAGATTCGCCACAACCCAAGAGTGGCGAATTAGCTGCTTCCTCGCTTCCAACCCGATCAATTCGTTCTCCACAGCCGATTAAAAACCAGAAGAATCTGCCCTCCAAAGCACCCAATTCATCCCTCGGTAGGTTCATTAATTTATAAACCACTCCTGTTTCTTGCCATTATTTTTTTGTGATAGCTTACTCGACTTCATACTTTGATTATCCAGAAAAATATATGGTTAATTGGTTCAAGTGATCACTTTGACGGGTTGCGCTTTTATGATGATGCAATTAATTGCCTTGAATTTACTGGTTAAAATTGTATAAAGTTGTATAACATCGTTAATTTTGCTACTCCTAATGTGGAAAGAACTCCACCAATCGGTTTGCTTGTGACCTTGGGGCGGTGCATGTCAAGGTCCGCTCATCCCTGCTTATTTACACTAAACAGGTTCCCCTAGCACCAATCCACCGATGTTTCCCATTAGTCGACCTGGGGGAGGTATGATGAAGCATCCCTCGTCCCTCCCTCATCCTGCTTCCATTCAAACGCGCTCCTTGGTGGATTTTGGTGGATCTAGGCCCCTCCGAGAAATCAGTGGTGAAGTAAGTCAAACCTCCACCATTAGTCAAGCATCAACAACAACTTAGCTGACTGACTTATGGCCTTCTTAATGCGAGCCCTTTTACAACAGCATATGCGGCTTAACCGTCTCGTAAAGCTTGCAGATACAGCAGTTCGGTTCCATTCGCCTCCCTTTAAACTCTAACTCCTATCTCTTCACTTTTCGTCGGGTAGTCGGACCCTAAGATGGGGCGAAAAGACACAGGGACTATGGAGAAAGGAGAGGAGGAGGACAATGAGGCAGCATTTTCCTTTTTTTAATCTACTCTACCTAAAATGGTGATCACACCTTTTAAACCACTCAGTTTTTGCGTCAAGACAAGCAATCGCACAGGTCGTCAATCCTCGAGGAACGCTAAAGCAGGACTTCGTAACGTAATGAAAGGAGTAAAGAATAATTAAATGGTCTTTGAAGTTTTCTCTCACCAAAATTGAGGGTTGATTTGTTTTTTTTTTCACACCTCTTTATTAATATGTAAATGAGAAACAGGTACGCCATTGCCGACAACCAACAGGACTGACATCACTTCCTGACACGTCCAGCTGAGGGTCCTGTGACTTTCAGTATTCTCTTTTTGAGGTTCTCTTGGTTCCCTGAGGCCTCCTTTTTAAACCTCCAAATTCTCTCGCTCTACTGCCTGTTGCTACTACTGAATACACATAGGCTGACAGTAAAGAGACCATAAAAAACGCAAATATTTTGACAACAGAGAATGGACTAGGAAGTTGCCCAACTAGCGCTCCACTTTTATTAACTTCACTGATTTAATAGGTGTCCAAAAGTGTCAGCAAATTTCTCCTGTTTTTTTTGTCCCCCTGACATCAACTCATCGAAATATGTTTAGTTAATTGAAAGAAGGCTGGACAAGGGAAGAAAGGGTTGAGAACAAGTGAAGCACAGTGTTCTGTTAGAAAGGGGACAAATTCCCTCATCGTGTGGACCAATGGCGATGAGGGATTCACTTCAAGGTCATCGGGGTAGCCTTGATGGCACCTCCTCTCCGTAGCACTACGGCAGCCCTCGAATGAGGCCTGTTAGACTCGTTTCAACCTCCTAAAACAATCATTAACAATGGTAGATGACTGAGACTTACGTGAAGCCATTGACTTTGTCCTTTCGGCAGGAGTGAAGGCCTGTTAAGACGAATTCTTGTAACTCCTGGCATCAAAGCACCCTTCAAAGCATCAAACGTTGACACCTTTAGCCCCAGCATACTTACAATTTACAGACGCTCTGTTCTTTGTTTTACCAACAACAATAGCGATATCATCGCGTAGGGAGGTGAAAGTTTGTCCTTTTAATGGTCATGTAGACAACATTGTTTTACGGCCCTAAAGGTAAATATTTTTAGCAGCCACGGTCACGTCCTTGGGGAGAGGAATGAAGACAAATTTTACGCTATTGTTTTTCACCACTGCCCATCATTCCCGGCTGTCTATGAGTGCAGTATCACCACCTACCAATCCCCCAATCTCATGCGGTCATTTTCACATTCATTAATAGTTTGGGCCTTCCGCTGCATCGTGCAGATGTCACACGATTTTATGGGAGACCAAACAATTACGTGCTAGTTAGATGAAGGAGGGCAAGTAGATGACAAGTAGAGATGATTTTCGTTTATGAAGAGGTGTGCTATCATACAGTGACACTGACAACAGATAGAAATAGTTGTTATGGCTGAAATAGGTGCGTCTGAACCACCAATTCTTCGCCATCGGAATGTGCACTTAGTGGGAAGAATTAATTGTGTACAGGTAGATGAAAACCATACAAATGGGATTGCATTAGCGTAATAAATTATTAGAAATGTTTAAATTTATTCAGACACGTCCGTGGACGTCTCGATCTAAGCATTATTTTTCTTCGTCTCTGATTGGTTGGAGAAAGTCGTCAGCTATTGGTCGACGGTCAAACAAGAACTCGAAGTCGAGTATGTGACCATCCATACAGCTTAGTGAATTAGGGAACTGGAAGAAGTTTGTTTTGTAAACATTCCTTCGGATGTGACTTTATCCATTCTCGATTTCCTTCGCATTCGATCATGTGATGCTAGACGATTATGAGGTAGAGGAATGCAACTAATGAAAAAGGAGCACGAATGCCTTACCTCCCCTCCCTCCACCATCTCACTCCTCTCTCTCCTGTTTTATTATGATAATCATCCCTCTGTTAAGCTAGTCTTTAAAAAGTCCAAAGACACACGATTCCATTTTCCCACGGCAGTAAAGATTGCATTGTCAAGCTTCAAGATTGACCTTGGCAGGTGATCTTTAGGAGTCCAAGACATGATCTGTCAACACCTGAGGACATTTGAAAGTATAGATTTATTGTCTAAGAAGTTTATGGTCCACAAGGATCCCATTCAATTACCACTTACAAGTTCCGTGCAATGTGAAATGCACTAATAAATGATTCCATCAAGACATGCTTAAAATGGCACCAATTGCTTGACAAGACGATAAAGAAGGCCATACAAGCGTCAATTTTCATGCACCATCTCTCTAGCCAATGAGAGAGTACAGACGATAGGAAAGAGTGTTTTTCTTTCCTCTATTTTTCTGCAATTTTAAGTATTCCAGAGGAAGGCATTGCTAAATGTCATCATTTGGAGGCAAAGCAAGCAAGGCAAAGGATCTACTTGTAAATAACTATTTTTGTACTCTATTTTGGACAATTTTTAGCCGCCAATGCAACAACCAATCAGCAAGTCTACTGTAGTGAACAATGCCATTTCACCGCCTCTCTTTACAAAGCCACACATTCAGTACTATCCACCGTCCAACTATCCTGGAGTGAGTCAATTGCCAGCCCCCACACTATCCTTTAATGCTGGAGTCCTGCGATTCAACCGACCCTCCGATTTCCTTCCACAAAGTCTCACACCTACAGCCTCCTCAAAATCCAGTTCTTTCGCCTCTTTGTCGTCGTCATCGAATGGAGGTCATCCATTGTAGGTCCTTTGAAGTCACCTTGACATGTTTGGTGCTTCCTCCGGTAAATTGACAAGTCCTTCTTTGACTTGTCAGCATTTAGCAGTTGCAGAGGATGGAAGCACAATTTAGTCTTCGTTATGGAGAGACATTTTGCTTCCGTAACGATTGGTCTTGCAATCACGGCACATTTTGTTCGAGGTTGCATATTTGAAGTCAATTCGGACGACATGTGAGACTGCATGCCTGCTGTCTGGACGCTTATTTTTTTTAGACCAAACAATCTGAAGATGCTACACAATGAAAATGAAAATGTTAACGGAGAAAAGGACGACGAGGGAGAAGGAGAAGAGAGTCCACTGGGCAGTGGGGAAATTAATCGCGCGATGTCACAATTGGAGGATGTAAATCCAGGCACCTGGTCGGGTAGACTACCACCCACGCTTCCAGGAATGTCAACCTCAAATGGTCACTTCTACCTCACTACATCCCGTCAAAGAGCCTCTCTGGATCCACACCTACACAACGATAAGATTTCTGCATCGGTGAATCATAATGATGGGGATAATAAAAGCATCAAATCAGAGTGCCTACCCGGGAAGGATATGAGTAAGCATTTTTCAGTTTCCTCACTTTTTGGCGTCCAAGAAGAACACTTAAACAAGTTATATACGCTAGCAATGTAAGACGGCAGCAAAATTCACTGGCCTTCGAAAAATATGCTATTCAAATATTCACATTCTGTTCCATCAGCCAGCCTTTAAAGGGGGTTCACTTTTTAGATCGGCCTGCGAAACGTTTAGGCATTCCACCGACTCTCTACTCCTCTGAATCGAACCTCTTCACGCCCGACACCTGGTCCAACAGCCTTCCAAATCGCCCTTTTCATCGAGTCACTGAAGTGACCACCATGGAGTCTCCCTCAACGCTGGCTCAATTGCGAGCTCGGGCTGATGGAAGGGAAGAAGTAACGAGCGAGAGGATTTATGGACCCTTAGGCTTCCTAAAACTCCCTTATGATCCCCCAAGATCGCACATAGATCACGGAGAAGGTATGTTGTCACGCTCATCTGAGTCTAATATCACTTAGTTTGTAACTTTATTGGCTCGGCTTTTACTCTTTGCTTTAGCTAAGTCTCCTTATTCAGTTGTTGGTTGTACAAACATGAAACAGTCGGTAAGTCGAGGAAAAGTTTTAACAAAACAATGTTTCTACCGACAGTTAATAAGTAGCCTTTTTATTTCTTAAGGACGATGGGACTGGTTCTGAGGTATGCAATTTATACTGGACATTACATCGGCTCTTGTACCCAATCTGCATGCTGTGTATAAAGTTATTTAGTGCTGTTCGTTTGTTTTTCATCACTCCTTAGGCGGAAATATGCCACCTCCGTCGGGAGTTGGAATCGGCACGGCAAAAAGTCACCACATTAACTTCGCAACTGGAGTTAAATGTAAGCTTTTTTGGCTATCACTTTTGATTTTGTTATTTTTCCACTCACCACGAGAGGAATAAACGCTTGTTTACGATCAAATGACTTCCATTCCCCATTTTTCGGAGTCAGCTGCTGGCAGAATGTAAGGCGATCACGTAGTAGTTTGCCTTTCCCTTCCAGGTAGTTTGCGAATGCGCAATTCATCAAACTCCCTTTTTCCCCTCGGACTTGTTCATATTGGCCCTTGTATAATGGCGTTCTAGCAAGTGATTCGATTAAATTTATCTGCGGGCTTTTGATATACACTTTGGCGAAATTGCCTCGTGCTGCTCTGAAGCCGTTATCATTTATCATGTCGCTTGCGCATGAGTAAGCAAATTTATCGCTGAAGTTAAACTTTTGTCTAATCATTTCGTGAATTTCACTGCTGTCTATTGCAATGCCTGCATCAAAGGACACCATCCTTTCAAACAAAATCAAGGGGATCACCTTTGACTATCCAGAGAGAATGGCACTTTGTTCATGCACTCCGCTGTACCATCTATTGTGCCGCATTTCATAGGTTTTACGGTCCTGAAAACCCCCGACGAGCTGTATTTCCTACTTTTTGTTCAAAAACTGGCATTAGAAAGGTAAACCGGAGTAAACAGTCAAATGTGTGTCAGAAAGTGTCACTGCCTATTGTAAATAGTTCTCCTGTCAGATGGGAGGATCGGAGATGATGAAACAAATACAAATGCTAACAGAAAAGCCCTTTTCACAGGTTCATCCAAACCCCTGTGCTCATTCCTCGCCCTTCAAAGGCGAGGATGGGCTGGAGGTAAGCAAAAAAAGCCAGCAATGCGAGCACATCGTTCTCCACGGTTATGGGTGTGAAAGCGTTACTTTTTTCGCCCATAACATCATAGCAAGTGATCGTAGGTGGTGTGGAGGCGACCTCCACCTTGGCCACATTCCTGTTTATTGCAGGTCAGTTAATGATAACATAATTACGAGGTTTTTTTTACGTACCCATCGGTTCAATTGGCTTCCCGTTCATATGGATACCTTCATTTGCGTTCGTGTGTGTGCACACGTGTGATTTGTGTGTGTGTGCCTAATTACTCATTCAAAGCCATCATTACCTGCCAATGAGATTTCACTCGCCCATGCGCGTGCGTGCGTACGTGCATGCGTACGTGCGTACGTGTGTGCATGCCCGCCTAATCGAAAATGTGGCAGCAGTGCAACAGCACAGTATTGCACAGCAGTCCACAATATGGACCGGCTGTACCCTAACTTCTATTCCCTCCATGCCACTCCTGTTGAACCGTTGGAAGTCCGATTCAAGCGTCGATCATGGAATGCTTTCCCTGAAAACCCTCCACTACCCTACACTGTCTACACATCGGTGCAAGAGACAACACTTCAAAGTCACCGACATCAGAGGTGTTCGAGTGAAGCGCCCACCTCTCGAAGAGTCTCCACCTTCCTTCCGGACAACAGTAACATTGATGATGAGGAAGTTGATGATGGAGCTGGAGAAGATGGGGTGGAAGAGACAACCAACAGTATCTCTCCCATTCCACCGATTGCAGTAGTTAAGCCAACTGTTGGAAGAATGGATGGTCGAAGGATTCATCGACCACAGCCTTGTTATGGACTGTCAGCTTTACCATCATTATCGAATGACCTTCTACCTCCATACATGCAAATGAGCACACCAGAGGTCTACTTTAACACCCACGGTCCTTCCAATTTCAAACAACCCACAGTGAGTCTACCCAGACGCAGAACTCAATTGAGACGTGAGAGAACACTACCAGCTGCAAGACACTCCGTTTTTGAGTATCCCAACGTGGTGGACTACGGACCGCTTCAAAACGCGGTAATGCAGGATTTGACACTTCGGCGTCGATCACGAAGGCATCCAGAAGCGTCAGCCACAGCACCTCTTAGTCGACGAAGACCTTGCGGTAGTTCTGCTGCAATTGTGCCACTAACATCAAGGCCTTCCATCGCCATTGAAGTAGAGCAACTGTCGACACCCTTGACGATGCCAAAACCTCAACCACCGCTCTGTGGTCGCATGGAGCGTCAGGGTAGAAGCACTCGTGTAAGCTTAGCTGAGACGAGGACTCACAAATCGAGTCAAAAACCACACACACTAACAGTCAACTCGCCTCAGATGTGCAATTCCCAACAATTTTGGCTGTTAAATGATAGAAAGTCGGACGTTTATCTACCTGTGGTAGTATTTACAGTGAATAGGCTCCGGAGGAGAGGGCAAGTCAATTACCCTGAAGCTTTAAACACTTGTGTAGCCTTAGCTGCACTCTCCATCATGATAAATTGCCTCCATCTGCCCCTGATTCTCCAAAACTCACCACTTGAAGACAGTGGAATTAGGCTGACCAGTATTCTTTCCCCTCTAGTCTCAGCATAAAGGAAAAATTTCTCAAAATTCTCAAAGGAATGCACAAATTGGTCCCCTTTTTTTACAAATCTTTTATTTTAAGCCTGCATCACTGCACTACTGCCATCGTCTGGCACCTCAAGTGTCACAAAATACCCAAGACTTCTGCCTTGTCGTCAGGTTTCAACAAACATGCTAGATGATAGTGCCAGGAAAGGTACATAAAAATTGTTTGAAGCAGCGGAAGGCGATCTTTCCTCCTCTTACCTCCCGGTCTTTTCCTCCCTCCCTCTGATGCCCCGCCTCGCGACTCCTCCACGCTTCCACCTTATTTTATTAGCCCTTTTGGCCTTAGTGAAGTGTTGCTTTTGTCAGAGGTAATCTTCGTGCCAAGCTAAACTACAGAAGGACACTTTGAAGTAACGTTTTGACAAGGCAATGGGATGCAGTATTACACTCTTTTTGGCCTTGAAGAAGCAGACTGATCCCGGCAGGCATTTGCACCTCCCTCCACTCCGTCACAAGTCAGTCAGTCACTATGTAAGCAGAGAATTTGGGAATGGCGTGTGACTAAGTGAAGCACTCTCCGTTTTCCCACCTATTAAGAAATACGGAAAGAAGTGACCACAGGATGGCTTCTCACATTTTATACAAGTATTGCTAAATATTAAAAATGCTGTGTGCCGAAAAAGTAGGAAAAAATAGGTAAATTAAATGATGCCTTGTTTAAAATGCATTCTTTAATCATCCTACTCCTTCCCAAAAAAATTTACCAAAATCACTTGCGAATTCAATACGCATAAAGTGCTTGAGGTTGCAATAAAGTGAAGTAAAGTAGAAGAAGTTATAAATTTTAGTTTATGCGTATTTGATTAGTTTGAAGTTCCGCCATCTAATCAGCTAATCAAAATTTTCGATAAATAGCAATGGCCTCACAGTAAGAATTCTTTCCCTTAAAATTGCTTAATTCACCTTAATTTTGTGGCTTTTTAGGCCAAAAATTTTTTAGCCAGACAGATTTGCTTTAATCAAATGAGACTTTGTCGGACAACTCCAAATTTGTGCGTTAATGGGGAATATTTAACGTCGTAAAACTCGCGGGAGGTGAAGTTTTGACTAGGAAAGAAACTTGAATTCTAGTGACGCCTATTTTGTCAACAACTACAAATTAAACAACTCTTTGGACGTCGTTATCCTATCGGCGAATTCGTCACTTTTCAGAGGTGACTGCGCACCGAACGCATATTTGCAGATCACTAGCTGGTTAGCACCAAATTTAGCAACACTATTTCTTAACGTCCCAACAGGCTCTTGCACATAGGATTAACAACAGTTTGCTTTACGTTTTACAGCTTTGAACATCCAGTGATAGTTGTAGTTTTCACGTCCTTTATAATATTGTTTTTGAATATAAGGTGGTCAATTACACCAAAAACCCCCATGGAATAGGGCTGATGTCTGGATTTGGTATAGCACGCTTTTGTTACCTCTTGACATGACAGGTCTCGAATCCCTTTTACTCTCTACTAGCCCCTCCCCTCACGCATAATATGTGAACTCACGCAAGCAAATGGGGGCGTCACACTTTCAGCGTAAGCAGAGGAACAAAAGGTCGACTTAAAACAAGGATTTCTTCTACTATAGAATCCCAAACATGCTTCTTCGTGAGACCTTAATAACCAAACTTCTTTCTACCCCTGTGACACCTAACAGGCCTTATGCTGCCTCCCTAATAGACAACGTTCACATACGTACGCACACGCACAAAATTGCTGGAACACAATAAGATTTTCACATCCCCGTGGAGTAATGTGTGCACCTACCCCGGTTTCGTTGTCTGGATTATCTGTGTATCACTTGCATGATTCGTTCTCGTTCGAAAATGTGCGCTTGTGTGCCATCCTCCGCTCGCATGCAAGCTTCACAGTGCAGATCGCGTTCTGGGACGCAGTGAACCAACAGATGGTTGGTAGGGGTGACTCACCCAGGCCTGTGGAAGGGAGAAAATGCCGACGCAGCAATGACGTTATAACATCGTCGCCCTCCCCCTCCTCTTAAGCACCCACAATGTCCACACAATTGCTTTCGTGGTTGGGTAAGAATCAATCGAAAAGAAAAAACCTTCTGACGCACTGTTAATTATAGCCTCCTTTCTGCTGTTCCGAAGTTGCGCAATGATTCGGACTACATCAAAACACGCTTTTAACCTTCGCACAACAACTTACATTAACGAAAACTAATGCGTTAAAACAAATCTTCGCCTTTTATTAACGGTGTGTGACTAAAGTAGTGAGTGTAAAATTAAAATGGCAAAAAATTTATTCATCCTACAAAATTAAAGCAAAACCTTTTTAATAAAGTCCATCAATTTATTTTCTTGTCTTTTTAAAAGTCATGGGTCAATTTTTTGCAATAATTAGTTTGTACTTTATCCGGGAAACCGTTGAGACTCTTTGCAATAAGCCAAGCCCCCGCATAGATGGCGCATCAGACCATTAGGTTAAATTGAGGCTGTTCTACTACCTCATTTGCGAATTAACTTGTCGTAGACTAACTTTTCCGATGACACAAGTACGCCTTATTTCTTTCCTAGGCCTGCCTTGTTTCCAATTTTGAACAGAGTCTGGCAAACATGGCACAACGCCTTCAAAGCCTAACTGTCTCGGCAGCTGAAAAGGTGAGCTCAATCGGAAATGCACTAAAAGCATGAAACGTAGAATATGTAGCCCACTAAGTGGTAAATTGCTACTCAAATTGAGTGTGTTCAAATTAGTTACCTTTTAAAACCCAGCCATTTTGCTTTTGTTTAATTTTAAATGCCGAAGTCAGACCATGTCGAACTTAAAATAAATGCGACTGGCTAACCTGATCCTTCGAAAACCGACTCAAAAGGCCATTCTTGCGTTTCACTATCAGTTCCTCCAGAGGAGAAGTGCAGTGTATTTTTTTTTTTGCCTACGAAATTGTGTGCAAATCGTGAGTGAGGAGGTGGCATTCTAAGCGGATGTTCCCTCACCCCTCGAAAGGGGGACTGCATGGTGCCTGCGTCGTCCACAGAGCCCTTTTGCCCTAATAAAAGAGGGCTTTGGGTTGGCAATTATATCCCTTATTACCGAGAGCCGCTTACGCAATAGCCCGAACCGGCGTTCATTGATGGTTATCAAAACGATTCGAGCGCAACCTAACAAAAAAAGGTTTAGGCAAGTATTTGTCCACGGTGGGGACTTCTTCTTCGACGATGGGAAGTAAATGTCAGAACCGCAGAAACCCCAATCCTCTCTGACAGGTAAACAGACAGTCAGTGATTGCGATCTACATCGAAACACATGCACACAAATAAAAGCAGCTGAGTCATTCCCCATTGTATTTATTTTTGTGACTAGAAGAATTTTGTCATTGGTGTTGCAGGCTAAAATTGCAACATTAAGTTCTGTCTATCCAATTTTCGCGTTTGTTAAGTTGGTCCAAGAGATAACAGAGCACATTACTCTCTCCTGTTTGCATTGGGGAGATTCAGAGGGTGCCGAGTGGGACCAACGTGCCATTTTAACCCTGGCTTCTGTTTTGTGAAGGATTCCGAACTACGAGAACTGCGACAAATAATAGATTCCATGGTGCAGGAGCGATCTTCCTCCAATGCTGTTGATCCAACCAGCGGCAAACCGCCGTTTCCTCCCTCGGCCACAGCGAGCACTAATGCCAACTCTCCAGGTGTTGCCGCTGGGGACAAAGTTGAAGTGGAGGAGGAGAAGTCGAACAGTTGCCCTCCAGGAACTCCCAAGTCTTCAGGCATCAGGAAGGGAGGCTGGGTAAGTTCTGGCCGTGAGAATGCCTAAGCACCGCTTAGACTTTCGATATTTTAAGACCCTGTACAATCTAAAAATTCCTTCCTATAACCATCGGCCTTCGTTAGTAACGGTTTTGATCTCTAAACGTGCTGACGGCCTACAAAAAGTGTTGCCATGCTTTCCTACGCGTAAATTTTAAATGTGTGAAATGTCAGCATCCCCTTTGACGTACCACACACACTGAATGGATAGAAGTTGCTGTTAGAACCACTACTTAAGGCGAAAAACACCTTTAAAATGCCAAAATTGGAGAAGATAGATAAGTCTGAATCGGTAATTATGTATAATGGCCACATAAAGCCTGTATTCTAATATCAATGATTCTGTTACCTACTTATTTATCCAAAAGTAGTACATCAAACCGCTAACTTATTTTCAGTTAAGGAGCTCTTTTGATCGAGCGTTCCGACGTCGTGGTTCTCAAACCTCACTAACTGGGGACGCTAGCTCTCATGGCAGTCATTCAAAGCCCTCTCGACCCTTACCAGTCAGTGCCTGGAATTCACCCGATCACCGGTCGTCACATAGTGAGCCTTTTGCAAATACAACCATTTTTCTGATTTTACATGAAGGCCGCAAATTTGAGTCTTGTTTCTGTAGGCATGTGTCAACAGGAAATGGGTGCAGACATAATGCAACGTGCATAAATCGTTCCATTCAATAAACGACGCAATAAACACCAAATTTGGTTGCATAGCTTTTGGCTTTTATAGGCCTCTTTTTAAAATTCCAGCAATTTTTATCTCCCATCTGTCCTTATTAATGATTGTTTTGTTCCCACTATCGACTTCACAATGCTAAGATGTAACTCTGAGACGAAAATGTTACTCATTTCCATTATTAGTAGCGCCCGCCAGAGGAGTAGATTTAAAGCTGCCAATTCAACGAGACTTTGGCATCAAACTCAAGAAAATGTCGAAACTTTAATTTTAAGTCATAAATTCTTGCATTCCAAGGATTTTTATGTGGTTAATTTCACAAGTTCACTGAGACCTAGTGCGGTGTAAGGTGGTAAAAAAGTTTAAAAGGTAAAATAGTCAAGAATAAGTATTATCTCGTGCCCTGACCTGCCATCGCGTTGACGTTGATTGCAGGTTTGCCAGGGAACCGTCAAATAGCAGGAGGTCAATGTGGCAACAAGGTTCACACTATTGTAAGGACAAGGTTATCAATTACTTTTTCCCCGCAAAAGAACACACGTTAGGCTCCAGCAGACCCCATGACTACACTTTTAGGTGGGAGAGGTGGTGTTGGACTCTCCAGTTGACAGTAACTGATTTCAGGGTGATGTTCTAATTGTGGCACTTTTACTTTTGACAAGCAGATTTGCGCAAAAACTTTGTTCGTGCGGCTTCTGTATCTGCTGACGTGAGCAGAACTCAGGGTTACCCTGGCAACCACCTTGGTAATGGGTAAGTCCAGAAAGTTATTTTGTCGATAAGTTCTGCAAACTATTCTTGCAACAAGATTAGCTCTCTTAAAATGTATAAAACATTTGATTAGACAAGATTTTCGAGATCTTAGACATTATTGTAACTGCACTGTTCCTTATTTGAAAGTTAAATAAGGGGGTTACTAACGTTCCGTTATCTGATTGGTTGATTGTATTTATTGGGGAGCAACAATTAGTCGATAAAACTGACCAGGCATTAATGCAAAATAGTTGAAAATTTGTGGAGGTTTAAAACATTACGCTTACTAAAGGGTCGCGAAATGTCAGAGATTACTGTAACTTCATTGTTTTCTTAAGTAAAAAGTGTTGGCAGTGCTCGATGTTCTGATTGGTTGATTGCATCCAATGAGAGGAGGGAGGAAACGTGGGTTGTGCTGTTAGCCTCAAAAACCGCCCCGACTTGACAATGTGACACTCACCTGCGAGTGGAAGTACTAGTAACCAACACATCGGTGTCGACGGCGTGTGCTGAGGATTGAAACCCACCGAAATCTGCATAAATTCCACCTTGGAGCTGGTGTTCGTGCTAACTTTAACGATTGCACTAGTTGAGCTCAACATCCCTCTGTCTGTTTACCTTTAGCACATGAACTGTCTCAGCTCATACACCAATGGTGTGGAAGGAGCTTAAGAGTGTGTGAGAAAATCAAGCTAATGAACTTTGATTCAAACTCCAACAAATGTCAAAGGCCTTTGAGAGAAATTAGAAAATTCCATCTCGCAATATAGCGCTCTCTCAAGTTCGTGACTCCGTTAACAGTCGATTTTCTACCTATTGCGCATTCTCTTTAGCGGTTGTATTGGAGTCGACGGTTCTAGAGTTGGACCGACTTCTCCACCTTCAATATCCAGCTCCGCCTGTTGTGAAGCTCACTCGCGATGCCGTCTGTTGGAGGCAGAAGTGGAGGCACTGCGAAAAGAATTGGGAGAACGTGAACGACGCCTAACAGATGCCCAACTACAGGCTTTGGCGTCGGCGCATCAAGTGGATCAGCTTCGAGACCAACTAAACCTTCTCTTCCAACAGTTAAGTCTCCTGCGTTCCGACAACGAGCGTCTCCATGCCTCGGCAGCTGCAGCTGCCAACTCCCCGCACTTCAGTGCAGAGTGATGAATGTTTGAACAAAATTTTCCTTCTTGTTTTCTGATTGGGCGGTCGACTCATTGGTCGACTTTAACCCGGAGATTTTATGCTTCCGCATTTAGCAGGATGAATTATACTATATAGAGTATAAAGTATATACTACTTCTTTTGTGGGCACTATATTTAAGTAGCATGTGTGGATCTAGAATATTTAGTAGGCCTTGCGCTAGTTAGGAAAGAGAGAATGTCCAAAGTCATTATGCAATGCCACACAAGTGATCAAAGTGAAAGTTCTTGCAAGGTAATATAATATAGATTTTCACTGCAAAAGCAAGTTAAATGATCACCACCGGATCATTGCTTTTTTGGTAAATTGGACAGTCACTAGAAAACAGTGAAGGTAGTTGAGCAAGGTGTAAGCTGTTCGGGGAGGTAAAATTGGCATAAAGTACTTCGGTTAATTGCAAGAGGCGAAAAATTGGATCGGAGTGGACCTCATAAGATGTGCATCATTGAATTGCAGTTGAGGGATAGAATATGATAGTGATCAGTCAGTGGTGACCAATGCGGAAATCCCAAATTCTTTACGCTTTTTTGGATTCCTATCATTCAGCTTTTAGTGGTTTAGAGTGGTAAACTAACTACCAGGAAGGTTTGAATAAATGCGATTAAAAATGAATGATTTAATGATCTATCGAGATCTTGTGATAGGATCACTCAACCCACATTTGCTATCCGGAAAGTTCACTTGAAACTGCCAACCGTGTATGAGCAACCAACAATGTTTCAAACCGACGTGGTTATAGAGAGCCCTGATTGAGAGAAACAATTCAAATTAAATTCTTTGTGTGGGTGCCCTATTTATTCCTTTAAAGTAGCAAGCGGTGGCTCATTTTCAGTCATGAACGAAAGCCACGGCTGACACAGAAGACCAAAGTTGAATGTTGGAGTCATAAGAGCATTACCATAAAATGGTTTTTTCTGCTTACCAATCGTCTGACTGTGATTAACAATAGCCCTGCACTAACGAGTTATGCTAGATCTTGTAGAGACATTGACATCATACAGAAATTTTTTTCATTTACGATTAGAAATTAAGAGAAAACAGTCAAACAGTGCCATCATCACCATCATCCTTAGATCATACACTTCCTTTGGTGAGCGTGTTGAGTTCCATTCTGCCCACCTTCTTAATGCAGCCAAAACTCAAATATGAGCTACTTAATTTGCATTTCAGTAGCGCTATCGACACCAGCATCAAGACCTCGTTCTAATTACATCATTTAGACAGATTTTAATGCTAGCCAAAGAAACAAAGGAAACTTTAGAAGTCACAGCAAATTTAGTAGTGGTTGTGGAAACGCACCATCTTTTAAACCACCAAACTTTGAAACTCGATAAATTTTATTTAAAAAAAAATTCGTGTTGGATAAATTGCTGGCCGATCATCTCATTAGATAAAAAAGAATAAAGTTAAGAAAAAAACAAAAAAAGTAAAAGAGTCATAATCAGAAATGAGTAAAGAATTAATGAAATAATCATTGTCAGCATGCATCATGAGAGGTACTAATTTTCGGACACATAGATGGCTGGGAAGATACCAAATCGGTCTCCAATTCGGCCAGACCACCAGGACTCGTCAAATTTGTCAATATCACAAATTTCATCGCCTGCCTTAAAGGACAACTCGTCGGATTGAGCTAAACCATAGCAAAAGAGGAAAGGGGAAAGGAGGCAAAATTACACAGTGCCATTGTGAGCGCATGGACACATAAATGGGGTCAACTTACAGGCCACAAAGTCATACAAAGCCATTGCTGTAATACTGCTAGGTGGATTAGAACCGACCTTGGTAGCATCGGTTCCGGATTTGATTTCTTCAACGTGATTAGCCGGGAAAATGCCAGATCGAGTGCCAATGTATCCAAACCACCAAGACTCGTCGAACTTGTCGATATTGACAATGGTGTCCCCAGCATGAAAACTCAATTCGTCACTTTGAGCTTCGTAAAACATTTAAAAATTAGAGTCGATTTTAATGGACGCCAATGAGACTCGTGTGAAAGGCTTACAACCCACGAAGTCGAAAGCAGCCACTGCAGTGATGTTTGAAGTTCGCGCCTGCACTGATGACTCCGTCGGTTGTGAAGGCTGCAAAGCTGGCTTCAAATCCTTGTATTCTTGCTCCTCCTTCTCCATTTGAGCTTCAGCCTACAGGAAATCATAATTCAACTGATTAACCAATTAGAGCGAGGCAAACACGAAGAAGCTCGAAATGGCCAACGAATTGCCCAGTTCAAGGTATGGGTATGGTTAAAGGTAATTATGCTTGTACGAGGATCAAAAAAATTATGTAACCCGTTGAAGACTACAAGCATACACCGATTATAGCGATCAATAACTTAAGAAGGAAACTCGTTGAATGATACAATATCTCCAGTGAAAGTCTTATCTCTCCACAACTGCGATATGCACAAAAAGGTAGCGCTTACGATAAATAAGGGCGCGCCTGTGGATTCAGTGTTTAAGTACTGCTTATTAAGGGTAATAGGATGGCTTTGATCGGTTCTTCTGTACTGACAGGTTCCCAAACACTTAATAAAATGTTATTATGTGTACATTAACATTGCAGAAAACTGCAGAATAAAAAAACACTTAGTCCCAACAGCCTGCATTTTGTTTTTAAACTTGGCCACCTCTCGTACTACTGGAAAACGATCAGTGGACGGATGACTAAAAAAATTAATGGAAGGAGCTTTAATGGTCTTTATCAAAGCATTAATGCCATTACCTCATTAGAAGACGACGGCAAATCAGAGGGCTGTGGCACATTCCATGTTGGTTGAGCTTGGGGCTAAAATGCATTCCCAACCAATAAGGAAATAAATGCTACCAATAGCGCACACCGAGTATATGATTCGCAAATGATGAGCCAATAACAGAGGAGAATCGACCAATCACTGCTTAAAGCGCTACAACTTGCCCTCTGGTTGGACGAAAGCAATACTCATTGCACAATAACAGACCTCAGGTGTGGGTTCAGGTTCAGGAGAAGACGGCTTAACGCGATGAGGAATTGGTTCTGGCTCCCAAGGCTACAAAAAAAATAAAGGAACGATTATGTAAACTTAGTGAAAATCATTTCTGGCCAGAAAAATTTATTCACCTCCTCCACTCTTTCATGTTTCTCCTCGTCCGCCTTTTTCTCTTGCGGCTCCACTTTCTTTTCCTCAAACGTTTGAGGCATCTAAAGGGATTAAAAAGTAATACCTTTAACAAACTTAATAAAATACAAATTATGAAAAAAAACCATCATTTACCTGTGGCTCAAATTTAGGGATCGGTATTGTGGGTTTCGGAGCTGGCTTCGGCTAAAAAGGAAGTAATCATTAAAAAAAGGCATAACCTTATGCCAACTCTTACCAGCTTAGCGTTGTACAACTAGCTTACATCTACCTTCTAGAAGATTGCCATAATTTCAAGTCAAATTACGGAGTGGGGTTTAGGTAGATCTAACGAGGAAAAGTTTTATTCAGGGACTTCCTTTCTACCATTTTGGACGAGCTTTTGATCTAAGCACGCAGTTCTTCCTTGGATACTGGGAAGAACAAGGGATATCATTCGGTAGGCTTCCAACCGAAACAATCAACTGTTAAAACTGAAAGTTAAGGCACGAGTTACCTCTTCTGCAGGTACTGGTTTAGAAAAGATGTTCGGCTTGAGTCGTCCCACCTGTGGACGTGGAGGTCGTTCTACTGATTTATTCTGGTCCAAAGCCAACTTCTCAAAGCGTGCACGCAGTTCACTGGCACGGTTCTGCCCGCTGCTCACCTCAGGTCCTTCAAGAGAAGAGGAGAAAGAACACTTTGAATTGAAAACAAAAAATCAACACTCCATCAACGCGTTCAAGCCATGCAACCGACCGAGGAATAAATTTAGTCAACATGTCAGTGAACTGGCGACTATATTAAGCTTGTTCACTGCCCACTCAGAACGTCCGACTCAAAAATGCAACTAAGCATCACTGTAAACACACATACTGCTGAAAAAAAGGTTGCACTGCTCAAACAGTTCTGAGCAGAGAGCTGAAAACCAGCTCACATTCAGGACGTGAGGCTGGATTCTGTGCATTCAAGACTACAGACTGGGCAATAAAGGGAAAGCACACACACTGCCGAAAGCTATTACAAGTGAACACGGAAAAGCTGTGTTAGCACATGCATAGACAATTCACGTAACTACTTGATCTTACTACAGCATATAAAGTGATCCAATACTGCCGAATAGCAGACGTGCTTTCAAATCTTGATCTAGGGATAAGAAAGACAACCAGTCTCAAAGCGGTGTCTGGTAAACCAAGCAACTAAATCAGTGGTCCTTCTGCACCCACTAGGATAGTATCCTGTAAACTAAGCACAGCTGGCCTACTTGGATTGAAAATGACCTCCAGAGTCATAATGGGAAACAATAAGACAACTTGAAACTGATTCTAGTTGATGATAAGCAGTTTGGATGAACAAGTCTGCTTAGAAGATTTGCATTCTATTGGCAGTTAGAAAGTGGTTCAGAGATGCTGATGCCTGAACGACATTAGCCAAGATTCCAATCTAACTTTGGCTCAAGTCTCCACACTCTCAACAGTTCAATTTTATAGTACCTCAAGAAGCTAACTTGACCATTTTGCACTCTACTGCATCTCTATAAGGGGGAAAAAGGTAATCAAGTACGTTGTTGAGACTGGTGGGGGACAGATGGCTCTGGTGCGTCTCGGTAGCCAAATGACGAGGCATCGACACGATCCTTTTGAATACCGTATTTGCCCCCAAATCCCAATGCGTAATCCTTCTGTGAGGAGTGTTTTGACAACTCCTCGTGGTGATCATAGCCCAAGGCGGTCTAAAACAAGGAGGGGATACCTTAGTCGATGACACTACGATCTTATAGTTGGTTAATGTCATCAAAACAGCGCTTTCATAACCAGAGAACACAATTTCGTCTTTTTAAACTTGTTTTTGAAAAATAAAAGAGAGGGAGTAAAAAGGAGACGGCGAGTAAAGTTTTTCATCCAAGCCTGAAGCGACCAAGTCATAGGTGGAAGGGGAAACTTTCTCAGGAGAAAATTTCATTAGCTGTTTCTCTTTGATAGATTGATAAATTATGAAACTGAGACGCAGTTAAATTCATGCGTAGAAAAAGAGTAGCCCATACTCGAACATTAGCGCCATTTATTAAAATGTTTGTGAAATAACAGTCTACTCACAAGTTAATAAGTAGACATAAAAACGTGTAGATTATCCTACCTTATCTTGCCTATCTGTTTGGATGCCATAGCGGCCGCCGAAGCCCTTGGAGTAGTCCTGCTGTGATGAATGTTTTGATACCTCAGACTGATAGTCGGTACCAACAGCACTCTAAAAGGGCAACATGAAGGTTAGGCTACCACGTAAACTGCGCAGACCTTTAATGCTGAATTAGCAAAGAACACTTGCCATTTCATTGTTTCAAAGAAAAAACTCATTCACTCAACTGGCGCAGCAGCATCTTATCAAATCAGCCAAACGCAGCACTTAGTGCAACGTTCAGTGATGCGTCAGAAATTAAACATACCTCCACGGTGGTTCATAAACGAGAGCAATGGAGGTATCAAGCGACCAATACAAGGTTTGGAGCATTCAAGCAATTTATATGTGCTACTTCAGTCGTAACCGAGAAAATAGGCTTATTGAGTATCAGTTAGCCTCCACCTATTTTGAGATTGACAGTGAAAGGACATCTACAGCACTGCAGCACTCTTCAAGGAGAGTCCACTTTTGCACACAAAAAACCATTGTGCTGGAAACTATTGTGTGGAAAACACTTTCACATACTCTTCATTCATTTGTTCGGTTAGAGTAAGATAAAATAGCATTAATGAAAGCGAAAGAGGGTAATGGCGCCTGACATGTCCTTTGATATACTGACCTAAAAGTCTACAAATGAATTTCTCCACTCAAAAAAAGTGCTCGAAATGCTGTTCAGGCACCTTAACAGGGCCTCATTAATTCCCTTCGCCTTCTCTCGGATACTAAAAAAAACTAGAAGGTGCTTGCTGTCAAATATAAAGGCATTCAAAAAACTGTCCAACTCTTAGCTCCAGTAGTGGCAGGCAAATTTAGACTGCAAAAAAGAATTGACTGAAATGTGTGCCACCTCTATCCCAAAAAACGCCATCTCACTGCTCAATGAAGCGACGCGATTTTCTTAAAGAAAAGATTGCAGTTAAGACACCACCTCCCATCTCACTTACTCACATTGGCACTACTCACGGTGGAATGGCTCAAGTGGATCGCTCCCACCCCAGCCAATACAAGAGCATGCCTAGGGCGAGCTACCAATAGTTAGCATTCGCACACAGCAGCTTGTAAAGCCAAGAATGTCTGCTGACAACCTTGAAAACTCGGTAAGACGACGCCAACCCCCAACCTATCATCAGGAAAATATCTGTAGTCTAAACGTTTCAACGACAGCGCTTTGAACGTCAATGAGGGTGTCGGATTGTGACTCTGCTCTTGGATGTCATTTCTACGAACGTCCAGCAGGATCAAAAAATGCTCAATCGTAACCCAAGCGGTACCAAAGCTACACATGAGGTAAGCCCCATGCAAGGCCATGATAAGAACAGCGCATTAATTTTTGTGCTTCTGAAAAGTTCGTAAACGTCGGCTACGATAGAAAATTCAAATGCAAAATAGTTCAACCCTATCGTTAGACCATTCGAAACATGTTAATCTGTCAAAAACTCCGATTTTACAGAGACGTTTAGTGGATAGGCAAAAAATCCATTCTAAATAGCAAACTCTACGATAACGTGGGTTCGTCAGAATGTGCAAAACAGAACACTCCTTTCAAAATGGGAGCAGAAAAGCAATTTACCTTATTTTTATCGCAAATGCCGTAACGACACATGTGAATGGCGCCTTAGGGCGCGCCACTGGGTCTCAACGACCTGCACATATATCGTAAAAACACACACCATGATCCTCACGTGATGATGAAAAAAACTATGCCAAAAGTAGTTTTCTATCTATTTAATGAAGTCTAGCGATCCAAATGACCAAAATGTCAACAAATTGAACGAACAAAAATAAGGTCGGGGTGTTCTACCCACCAATTGTTTTTGACATGCAAAAGTGTGCACCACTGGGGCAATAAAACAAAATGCAGTGCCAATTTTCAAATTAAAGCGTATGAAAAATTATTGCCATGATGTCGTGGAATGATAAGCGGTAAATATGCCGCACAAAGTAAACCGATTTTACGTAAACAGTAGCGTTATGTGGATAATGACTCAGCGCTTATAAATACCAGTAAGGAGACGTTGGCAAGATCTGCACCTGTGAGTGGCGAATAACTAAACAGGCATCATAGACCAGCTAATCCAATGGCAGCCTAATGTAAACGATGATTCGTGTAGAGATAGCAGTGCATAGTCAAATGAGTACACAATAAAATCCAAAGACTTACTTTGTCCATTCGATCTTTTTCGACACCAAACTTGCCACCATAACCATAGGACGCTTTTGGAATGGCGTTCTTCTTGCTTTCCGCATCCGACTCTAATGCACCTTGGATCAAAGCATTCATGCTACAAGGAAGCAAGCGCTAGCATTATCGAGTCAGATAGAGTCTGAGAATTCACCACGGCAGTTAATATACATGTATATAATGACTTTAACTAAATAAACCAGTTAGCCTCAGTAAGAGGATTCTGCAGTGCGCACAAACATACTCAACATGGCCAACACGACCAGGAACAGCCTGTGAGCCGAAACGTCGCTCCCTTTCAGTCATGACATTCTTATAATCAGGAGTGATACCCCAATCATCGTCATCAGCCATCTTGTAAAATGAAAAAATGCACATAGACAAAAAATCACTCAAAAATAAATAAGAATCACAGAGAATACTCTAATGAAAACTTGCCACAATATAGGCTATATGTAGTAGGTATAAGGCCGACCATTTCGACAAACACAACTAACCTCCCCGAGAGTAAATCAACCGGAGCCTAAGAGCTTCAAATTTTCGCCATCACACCGTATTCAGTTCAATAAACTTGTGTTGGCAAATTTGCTTTACACTTTATAATCTGTAGTATTGGTAAAATCGTTTTGATTTTGACTTTAAACTGTAAGTTATCTGAACAGTATTCTTGGTTTGAAATTAACATTATCATTGTTTGTTATTTAATGCATTGGGCGGATTTTACTTGTATCTATACTTAATTGGAACTTGGTTATTTGAGTCTTCTGTGTTGCATTAGTAATCCGAAGAACTGGTTGAACTTAGCTATTTGGAATGCAATGGCGCGTGATGATAGAGCAAAGGAGATAATTTTAATTCCAACCCTATCCTTCTGTATTTACAGAAACCAAGGGGAGCGATAAACCCCTAAGTTACCTCACCCCCTTCCTTCTATTGCCTTTATTATCTTTTTTTGACTACAAATATTTGCCTACCCAAAGGTTTTCTGGTTTACTTATTCTGTTCAACAAGTAAGAAATATCGATAAGAAAAATAATTAAGTTTCGATTAATACAGAGCTTGTCCAAAACTAGGCAAATTCGTTCACTAGAAGCTCATGGCACCGCATCGCCATCTGGAATGTGCGATTATCATTGAAAGTTACAATAATGGAAGAGTATCACATTCCATTCCTGATCGCTGTATTAAATTACAACCTGTTTGTGCCTTGCCATTATATTTGTTGCAAAGAGAAAATCGTTCTTTGTAGACCGTCTAGGCGAAGTCATATTTCTGCCTTCCTCTAATTCGCTCATTGTCGTATTGACCATACTGTTTGGAAATAAAAATGCCAGTAATAAAAAGTACCCTTAAATTTGCATTTAATGAGAAAAGTATTGCACCACCCGTTTTCAGGAACAGCTAAGCGGGGATTTTGTGGGAAAATAAGCTGTTTCACATTCATTATCTTTGCTAATGATGAAGCTCAAGTAATTGATAGCTGTAGCGTCTCACGACCTCCCAGTTGGTAGCTGAAGGCATTGGGCATAACTGGAGGGCTCGTATTTGGGGTGAGGGAGGGATGTGAGCCGTTGGCTTATCTCAAAAACCGATTTGCACAGTCCGATGTGGCCGTCAGTGTTTAAATTAATACCAATCGGATAAGTAACCTGTTTAAATCACCAAATTTTTAAGATGTGTTAATCTGGTATACATGGTGACACTGCCACTGACGTTAAACTCTATTTAATAGTTGACGCTGAAATCAATTACCGGAAGGCTTAAAAACGGTTTAATAGACAAGCGACCTATTAAACGTTCTCTCTTCCTACCACCTGGAGTTCACGCGCATGATAGAATCGTTGAGACTCATCTTTTCGTGCCAAAGGGTTTGGACATACCTCCATCCATCTGCACCATTTCTCACCTTTCCTTGTCGGCCATATATAGGAGACTGTCAATCTGAATGTAGTCGCCATTTCTATGCATGGGTTTGTCCGTTTACCAAATCCTGTTATGCACCACCTTGATTAGCAATGTCTGGAGTGGCTCTCTCCTTGTGCACTAGCTTCTGGTAACATGAAACGCCTGTCATTACCATTGAGCGTAATAACTTAACTACCCTCGGTTTCACTTGGCCGTAAATGCAAGTATTAAACCCATCTTGTCAGACGAACCATGAAAGCGTAAATAGGACCGCAAAATCAGCATTTTTGCCAACTTAAAGTTTTCAATAATCCAATCTGTCGTCCATCTCACAGGCTGTAAGAGGAGGAGAGCAACTAATTGAGCTGATCCACACCGGTGTCCTCAGCCGATGGACACATATCATGCAATTCCTTTTTACTAAGATTTGCGAGAGGTCACCTAATTAGATGCTTTGTTTACTTTGCTTCCAGGTCTGCACACTTGTTGACCTGTCACCTCGGTAACTACACCGCAGGCAGTAACCAATTCCCTTTGAGGTAATAACGCAATGGATATGCACAATTTCGTTACACTTCCGGAATGCGGATTTTGTTATAAGAAATATTATCCGGTAATTTTGCACACTCTTTTTCCCAAACACAAAAAAAACCTTGCCAATTATAATAAAATGTTGAGAATTCAAACGGCTACTGTAAATGGGAGGAGGGAGTTTGAATTTAAACGCTATTTGTGGAAGACAGTGAGGACGCTTGCATTGACATAACTTCACCTTTTAACCTACGAATTCTGGCCATGCCCAAAAAGACGCCTTCTTCAGGAGAACCCCAAAAAAGGTCTTCGAGCTTCGAGCAGCGCTAACGTTGGTGACAGTGGTGGGAAACGAATCCACGTATTTTTTATACCACTGGAGGAGAAAAGAGGAGAAGAAAAGACCTCCTAACGACCAAGAAGGACGGGAGTCGAGTGAGGACGGGGGCTGTGTAATAAAGTAATGAATGTTGTACTCTAGGGGCGCACTCCGTAAGTTGTTTTTTGGTCTGTACTGACGCATTGTTAAAATGATTGACCATTGGGGGAAGAGGCACGATCCTTCCCGAAAGTCAAAACATCGTCATTGTTACAGGTGGAGACTTTTGAGGACATTCAAAATGAAGTGGGATTGACAAGCTTATCGAGCAGTGCTCAGAAAAGTCGAATCCAAAGAATGTCAGTTGTTAATAAAGTCGAGAGGCATTTGAAGGCTAGTTGGCGTGTGGATGTTATGGATTGCCAACAGAAATTCACTTCCATTGTCTTCACGCTGTCTTGACTACTCCACCAAACCGCTTTGGTCGCTTAAACACACAATCAGTGGAGGCGACGTAAATCCCGACTATGCCTTGGTGCGAGTGTCAGTCGGTCAGTCCCTCAATGTTTACCCAAAATACCTTCCATTCGAGCAATGGTTTTCGCATTATCACCTTAGCAACCCTCAATGGATAATTTGTTGATCAAACGGTCAATTAAAAGGTGAGCTTTCACGATTTAATGAGGTTTTCCACGGTTGACGCATTCAAATCACTCATGCAGTTACCCTCGGAGAGGGGACTTAAAGCGGTTCGTGCCCCACGCTCCCACTAATTCTCCTCCCCTCCCAAAAAAATTTGCGATTGGCTGCCACGGTGATAGTAAAGAGAAAAAGTAGGACTGAAGCGCATTAAACTTTAAGGAATCACAATGCATTCAAAAAATTTAAAACAAATAACTCGCCTTTTGCGAGTTATCACATTAAATTGGGGACAGACGTATAATAAAAATTGGTTTGGCATAAACTATAAACAGGAGGTAGACTCTGTACTCACAATGAGAAATATTCTCTTGTTACTCCTTGTGTTTGAAGGAATCTGGTTTGGGTTTTGGTGAGTTGGTCTCCATCAAGCCGTCCGTGCGCCGCAATGCGCCAATCTCATGCGTTGGCCAAAAGCTTATGCTGAGTTAATCAAGCGATGTGGTGAGTGGGCACCGAAGAACGAAGTGGAAGTTGTGTGGTTTTGCGCTCGCAATGAGGGACGAGGATCGGTTACAGGCGCAAACAGCTGTTGAATGGCACTGCAAGGATTTGCAGAGAGTTGCCTCGCAAACAAAAAAGCCAGTCGATACATAACGGGAGGTGGGTAATATGACCCTCTGAGGAGGGACAGGGTAGGGGTCGGAAGGAGGGAAGACGGTGGTGGAAGGACCAATGATTTGGGTACAATTGCACACGAGCAAACGCGTACAGACACCGAGTTGACGACAGGACCGCATTTACGCCATGTTCGCAAATGTTTCCGCCATTGTGACATCTCGATACTGGTTGTGCTGTTGCTCCTGTCCACTCTCTGATCGCCTCATTTGACCCAACCCTTGGGGCCAAACAGGTGGTAGTGTGAAAGGACTGCAAAATGAAGATTTACGTTGTATATAAAAACTGAGTTTCTGCACTGAAATGTAAATAAAAAGGTTTATAAGTAAGGGAGGAGAAAATTAACATCAGAAAACCTACTACAGCCTCCATTTACAAGAAACTCCGGGGGATTTAGCCTAATATTAACTTTAATTAAAGGAAAAGAAAAGGTGATTTTAATGCGGCTTAACAACAGAATAAAAGGCGATTCTTCAAAGTAATTAAAATACACTAGGTGAGTCCAAGATGCGTCATTTTCGCCCACTTATGTAACTTAAATGCGCCTTTAATCTCAACTCCAACTCCATCCGTCCACTCGTCCGCCATTCCAACCGCTTAAACATAACAGTTGATTGACATGGCAACAATCAGAAGTCTTATCGTTTCCTTCTACTCTTTTGGCGATGGAAGTGCATAACTTTTAGCTTTTGTAGACCTTTTTTGAAGTATTTTGTTCCTCGCAGCCATGGAACAGACTTGCCAGTTGTGCAAATTCGGATCCTCGAGGAGGAACTAAACGGTCAGGAGGAGGCACATCCTCCTTCTACTGCTTAGTCGTGTAGCACCGACGACCCTATTTATCTTTTAGTCCTACCGCAATGCATAAACTTTCAATATATCCTCAAATTTTACGCTTAAATCTTCCCTTCAATCGACATGCAAAATGTGTTGCAATGTAGATGCTTGTAGAATTCACAGGAGGGAGATGCTTTTTGTCCTGGGTGGACGTGCGTGTTCCAGCACTGCCGCGCATTTGCTATGTGTGTGTACGTGTGTTTACTGGGCAGAAAAACTTATCTCTGCAATCGCACTAATCTTCTGTCACTTCAAAAATATCAGACGACCAAGGCTCGCATGCTTGTCAAGCCTGAAGCACTGTCAAATCTTCCAACGTGGCGGAGGGCAAATTTTAAATTTACTTAGTTTAAGCCTCGCATAAAAGCAAGAGCAAAATTCAAATGAAATTAACCAAGTCTTCACTATTGTTAAATCATTGTCTAGTAAAATGCTATCAATGTTCAGGTCTTAGTTTATTGGTCATTTAAAGTTTTGGAGATGATGTTATTGCATTTAAATTTAACAAGGATAAACAGCATCGCCTACCAGAACCATGTAAAAACACACTCATATTCGACAACGCGACAGTTAAGAGGGGTGATTTATGGCTATGAGAACATATTTTCGGATCAATTTCCGCATAATTAAACTGTGTTTTGAACATTCAGAAACTTGCTTTCCTTACTTTTGAGGGCATTCAGTACCCTTTACAGCGCTGTATTTGTATCTTCCCGCAGTTCTCAGGACTAAGGAATATTCAGTCGAAATAAAACTGATATCAAGCAATCATCTATCCAATTGACCTAATTTATCCTTTTAAATAAAAGGCGTATGGATTTTGGATGTAAAATGAGGTCAAAACAGCGCCTGGTTGTCAGTGCTTTGAGAAATAAAAGGGCGGAATTAGTTGTAGTGCTTATCTCTGATTTAACATGTGGCAGTGTCACAGGCAGATTATAGCAACACTTGCATATAAGATATACAATATATGTCTCAAACGAAAGACAGACTTTCACTTAATCATCAACAAATCCCACAGAAAAGGCTTTCAAATTTCAGGCTAGATATTTTTCGTTTTAGAATAAGTGTCAAAAAGCTTTGTACCTACTTTATGATATTTAAAAGAAAACATGTTCCTACCATGCATATATATTGCATTTTTACTCTGAAAATAATTAACGTTATTTTATCAAAAAAGATTTTCGGAAATAGGAGGTAACAATTATAATTCAAAATTAGTACGCACAGCAGTTGTAAGAGCCAATGGCGTCAAGGCGCGAGCTCAAGTCACCTCGCCGTTGGCTTCCGCGTGCGCGCATCCCTCCACACCCCAGGGTGCGCGTAAATGGCTTTTGAATGAGGCGACCAATTAGTGCGTGCGCATAGGGCTGCGTGTTGAAAATTGACCAAAAAGGCATACTCGAATAGCTGGAAGTTATACCGCGCGTATCACCTTTGATTTTCGCCTTCTAAGCACTCTCTGGCCTTTCCCAATGTATGCCAATTCTAAGAATCCTGTCGGAAAGCCTTCCAGAGGTGATTTTCAACAATCTCCCAATTCTATCGGTAATGTAACTATCACCAGCTGTCATAAATTAATTTTTCATGGCACCTAACTAATCTAGTTATTTTATTTTATAATTACAGGAAGGATTCTTTATGACATTCCGTGCAAGGTGTGCAAGGACCACTCCTCAGGCAAGCACTATGGCATCTACGCTTGCGACGGGTAAATTTCTAGTAACTTAAGCGGTGACTAGCAAATATAAATAAGTTCATTTTTCGTATATTAAATGTCTCAATTTTTTATTAGTTGCACATACTGGAGCAGAAGGCACGGTCTAGTTTGCAAAATGGACTTTTAATAGATCAGCCTTTAACCAATCAGGTGTCTCTCTTGTCACTAAGTTAATTTATAGGTGTGAATTTTCTGCACAATTTGCTATGATTCTTACGTGAACTCCAAAATTGCAATCTGCTTGCATTTTGCTCCCTTTTTGCCATAGCTGTGCGGGATTTTTCAAGGTAAGATGGTTCGGAACTTTTTCCAAGCTATATTCACTTTCTCCTCCTACTTCTCCCCTACTTGAAGCGGTCAATTCGACGCAACAGGCAGTACACGTGCAAATCCCGAAACGGTCAGGAATCTTGTTGTCGTGTGGATAAACCGCATCGCAATCAGTGCAGAGCCTGTCGACTTAAAAAGTGTCTCGAAGCTGGCATGAACAGAGACTGTGAGTGCATCTTAATCCTTTTTACTGTCTTGTCGTTTCTAATGGACAACTAGAGTATATTAATAACTAAATGCTAATCACCTAGCAGTATGCAGGTTATGAATTCCATCTTAATAAAATTAAAGACTGCTAAATTTTAGGCAATAAAACTGCGAGTTGAACCACTTTTCTGTAGTTAACTTTACTATAACTTAACCATGGTGCTACAATAGAATTATTAAAAGTAGAACTTACTCATAGCGTTTAATTTATTATAATTTAGGAGTTCTTAGGAGGAATAAAATTTGTATAAAAGGCAGGTGGTAGTGGTGCTCACTTTGAATCAACCAAAGGTTGGCATTACGCTATCATTACTTACTGCTCTGGTTTTCCACAAGTAAAATAACAATGGTGCAAATCCAGAGATTGTTTGAAAACTCCCTTTTATTTATTTGATCTTTTTTGAGTTGAAGGGAAAAAGGCATGGGCTGGAGCCTACACTTAACTCCTGAACGGTGGAGCCACACAGTAGTACGAACATCGACTGAAATGAAAAAATGTTCATCATTAAGCTGTTTTAGGTATGATAATAAATTCAAGGGATCCGAAATGCCGAACTTCTTAAACTGGAACTGCAGACGATGGATGTAAATACACCAATCGGGCCGAGCAGGTGATTGGCTGTCAGTCAGCCAATCACTAATAAGGAAACGAAAATCCTATTTTTGTCCCCAAAACCCCACTCGACTTTGTATTTTTTGTTGTCGCCATGGTAATTGTAGAGCAGATTAAGTCAAGACGCATTTTGAAGAGGTCAGATATTGTCAATGGCCTCACGCTCCACATACACAATGATGATTCAAATGGGCGCCAGTCCAGCACAGGTGTGAAGTTGAGTTTTCAGACAGTGCACTAATTGTGCTGGGACCACACACACGCACACACTCGAAAAACACATGTTTTGTGCTTCGTTTTTCTTCCAAATAAGAGATAATGTGAGTCAAAAAATGATTAATTGTTATCTTTCTCGGCATGACTTCGAAGAAGTCGGCTAAATGCAATCACAAAGTAGGAAGGAAGGAAGATATCTTAAAGGATTGGATACATTTTTAAACATCATTAAGACACTGCTGTATTGAATCAAGATAGCTTGCATTTGTAGTAAGAGTGTTGAAAATTGTGTCAGAATGACACAGTTCCCACCAGTTGGAGGCAAAAATAGGGGCGTTGAACGTGAGAGAAATTGGCGACTGCCCACTGGGCAATTAAAGTGGAGCGCTAGATGTGCGCACTTGGGAGCCAATGTGAGTGATATTGCTGTTGTTGTTGTTGTTGTATTATACCTTCTGCATTTTGATTGACTGAGGCGAGTTGGTCAACAAGTCAGTTTTGAATACGGAAGAAGGCTTAGGCCGTGAGATTTTCACATCACATGGCCGAGTGTGTGTGCGTACAGTGCTGAAGTAACCAGCGAAAACAATCATAACTAAGAGGCCATAATGTTAGCAACAAAAAAAGAAATTATCATATTTGAGGTTTACTATCCCTTCAAATTGCCCTGAGGAGCACGATTTTCATAGCATCTATTGAGCACAGAAAAGGACGCTCATCTGTGTGGATTGTACAACATGGATGATGGTGGTGGTCAAAGACCTTGAAAGTATTTTTTCCTCTGATCTAAACAGGCTAATGGTGGCCATGGAAATCATTTCAAACCGACCAATTTTACGGTCAAATCCCTGAAGGACTCACCCAATCAGTGAGATAACACCTGAGTTACTAGGGCTCACAGGATGGAGAGTGGAGGATGCGGAGGAAGAAGAGGGCGAACTAATTGAAACCACTCTTATTTGGCCATTTTTATGAAGCATGCTTGACCCGTCACTTATGCTAATGAGTTTCATCCTCGTCCTGGTAACCGAAAAATTATAGCCGACTTTTGCATAAACTAATCGCTCAATTTTACGGTTTTTGAAGCAATAAAAGAGCGCCAAAATCTTTGTGACATTTCTGCATGACAAGTAAAAGGGGGATATGCAATAAAGTGGTGTTAAATTTCCATAAAATAAAAATTTCCTCACTTTAGTTGGCAATTAAAAAGAAAACACGAAGGTCATGTCAGGCAGGGTCAAAAATGACAGTTTCATGAGTGATGCAAATAAATGAAAGTAAAATTGGTAATTTCTTTTAGCTGTTCAACACGAACGTGGTCCACGAAATTCAACTCTTCGAAGACAGGTGGCATTGATGCTTCAAGAACAGGTGCCGCCAAAATCGCGTCAAGAAGTGGGTTCAAATGCATCCACCTTCTTTGGAGTGCATTCACGTTCTGAAATTTTTGAATCGTCTGCTTATCAGCCTCCAATACCACCGCAATCGCTCTCATCATCATGCATTCCATTCCACGTTTCCGACTGGTGCTTTCCCAAACCCTTCTACAACCTCTGCCCAGGCAGTTATGCACTCTCTCCTCCCTTCACGGAGTCATTTAATATTTTTCTAAGAAGTGGTCTTTCCCTCCCTCCACCCAATTCTTTTGTACAGTTTCAAGCACCACCACTTCCACCTCCAATATCATCGTCTTCCAGACTTCCACATGGCAAGGCATTCTTGTCCAACCTATTATCACCACTACCTCTGCCACCGCCATCACTGCCTCAAGCACTGTCAAAAGCCGAGGCATTTGGAATCGACAACCTCCTGAACGAATCCCCACTAGGTGAGTTAGGAGGGAGAGACAGGGGAGGGAGGGGAGGAGCGTTCATTTATGACCTTTTCATTGGCATGACCGCAGCAATGCTGTAGTAGAGACTCCTGTTAGGAGGCATTTGCACACATGTCATATCATGCGTAAGTGCGTGATTGACAAACAGGTTGTCTGATTTTTCGACAGGTGAGAAATAATCTTTCGCGCAGCTGGGAGCCTCATATGCACAATCAGTGGGAAGATATTCAATCTCTTCGAATAGTGCATTCTTTTTTGTGCCAGAACAAAAATTTCTATCCTTTCTATTGACTTTTACAAGAATGGTGCCGTGTGCAAAATGCTGTGCGATGGTTGTGGATAGCAGTGTGCACATCGGAAACACACAATAAAGGCTTTTATGGGAGTAGGCTGGGAGAATGGGACAGAGTCCTTCCAAAGCCGTTTCATCAACCATTTGCATAGTGGAGATTAAAAGAACTAAATGTAATAGCAATAGAGCTTAAAATTGGATGCTGACACGTTATCGGTCGCTGTTAAGGGCAAGTGAGATAGGAAACACTCATTCAAACACCAAGGCACACTATGCACTTAATGGAACGCTGGTCTGTGATTGGCTGATTTTTGCGCTCAAAATCTGGTAAAATGTCAATGCCGTTTTGATTCCTAGACCATGCTTTAGAAGTTGTTTAAGCTATTGGAGCCAGTTTATGAAGGTTAAATCTTTCATCCAAGTCAAAAAATTGATTTTAAGTTCTTTTAAGTTTTTTGCAAAAAACCACCATTATTGCAATTTGATTGGATGAGGAAGGAAATCGGATACCATTTGTCTGTCTACTGATGGTAGACTACCACTTCTCTTAATTCTCCTCACATACTCTTCACCTAATCACCAGTTTTGTGAGCGAAATGCCTCAGTCCAGTTTGTAAGATATTCACCGCGCAAATGTAGTTATCGTAGAAAGTACACAATGGTTGCATCCACAACCGGTTCATTTTAAGCATAGTCTCCTGCGTTCTCTGAGAGGTATCTTGCGCTTTGATTAAAGGTTGTGAGTTGATGTGTCACTAAGCATTCGATGACAGAAAAGCGATTTTGTCTTGTCAAATCTGTACCAGGTACGATTTATGGAGCGATACAGTCATGTGTGATTGCCTTGTTGGCTGCAGAGGTCCATTAGGTCTCCCAGAATGATACAGCCCACCTTACTGACCTTTGACTACTCAACACCCACTGCTCCTTGAAAATGACCGACATTAGTGCCATTGTATGATGTGGATTCTTAATCCCTCTTGTGGCATATTATCATGTCAAAGGACACGTCAAGGGTGTAGCATCTGATCGGACAAATGACGGTCCTGCGACAAAGTGAGAGCCCATTTGCTCATGGTAAAAATTGCTGAAGAATTTTGGTTCTGTCTCAGTTGCGTCAATATCATTCAAACGTCCTGAATTCGTTTGAACCGGGTGATTTGGGTAAGTTTGACACTTATATGCGGTTTTGCATGCACCCACTTGTTATTTTGGTGACTAAGCAGCTAGATAGGCACACATCATGAAATAACTGCCAATAGAAAGAATTTGACTCCTCTTCAAGCCTACAGAACACAAGGAAGTACGCGAGTAAAGCCTTTGCACGATTCTGGCAAATCTTCTGCCAACCTCCAAAGTTGTATTATTTCTTTAGTCACTTACACTTTGTCCTTTTTTGCTATTTTGCTTGCAGTACCAGTAACTGGTGCTGAAGAAGAGAGAACTCCTGTATTCGGTAAAATTGAACCAAGAATTCCACCCCAAACATCCACCACTCCAGAAGAACTCAGCGTATGTGTCAAAGGCATTCTACTCTCCACAATGACGTGGATCAGCACCATTCGACCGGATCGACAACTGCTCCGAATGTTTCTCCAACCTCCTGTTTATTCAGCAGCTACTCAACTGACTCCTCGTGAAATTGCTTGCCTCATGAGTATCACATGGCCAAAGGTCTTCATCCTAGAAGCCATTGAGGTCTTTCTGAAGGGTCGGGACGGCGAAAAACTTGTTGCCTTCTTGGTCAGGTTATGCAACAATGGAAATGCCACCGGTTTCAGTGAGTTGTTTTAGAATTTACAATGCTTTTTGAAAACACATACAATCGTTTGCTATTCAACACCCTCATAAGGTGGAAATTGCGTCGCCAGTGTGAAAGGATTCAACATTGATGCATGATTGCAGTGTCATCAGAGAAACCTTGTCCTCCCTTCACCGCCTTATCACTCATTGACGGATAAGGTGGAGCGACCAAGGGGGAGGGAAAACTGAAAGGTACATCACGTCTCTAGAACAAAGGCTGTTTGAAGACTTCCGTAGACGTCATCTCGATTCACAGGATACTGTGCTAATCATCGCAAGCTCTTGCATGCATGCACACGCGACCGCAGATGTCTCTCACCCCAAGGTGTGGACCCAGGCACACCGAAGACATCAATCACGCCTTTCACTTGCTATCACAGGTATACAACAACAGGCCTTTCGCTGACCCTACAATAATGCAACTTTTACTCTCCATAAAAAGGCATTTTGAGTGGTTTAGAAGTCTTTCAAAGTCGATGACTGCTGATTGGAGGGATGGAAGGCAGTACGATCTGAAGACAACTAATCCAAGGAATTACAAGTGCAATCAAAGTCAAGAGGGTGCAAGGCTTGGCATCTCTTTCTCTCGGCTGACAGCCACTTGGCAGCGTCTTTCGATATACCTTTTGTCGATTTGAGGTTCTATACAAGTAGGAAAAGAGGTGTAAAGCTAAACTAAAACACTAAACTGTGGAATACTGATAATTTTAACACTGAAACAAGTTAGGAGCGGAAGGAGGAGAAGAGGATGAAAACGTCGACAGGATGACAATATGCACAGCTCTACCTTCGCTTTCTTTATTTCACTTCACGTCATGAAGTCCTTGCAAATACACAAACACCTGTGTAAATCACCATCTCCTATAGCCCCAGTGGGACAGCTTTGACATGCTATTAAAATGACTGCGATGACATGAAAAGTTTCCTTTTGGCACACCTCATGAAAACGCGTGGTAATGTGTCATTGTGGAGACAAGGCTTTTGATCTCTTCCAACACCGTATTGGCGGTGACGGTAGGCAGAAGTTAGTTTATGATTTATTAATTTCAATTATTTGCTGATTTGTATGACTTTACTGACTCAAGAGAGTTGACGAGTAAAAGGGTACGCTCGACACAATCCTGCCTGCCTGCCTGCCTCCCTCCTTTAAACTTTGCAAGTGGTAGTAAGAAGATAATAAATAGCCCTCCTTATGGAGTCCTTTCTCACGCATTTCATTCACACGTGTACGTGTCTTCACAGTCATGCACAAACGACTTACAGGTCTGTCTCCTCGCTACGAGCACCAACACTTGAGCCAGTGACACAAGTGGCTAATGCAGTCACACTGTTTCTGTGAAGTCAGCCACAGTCAATGCTTCAGTAAAAAGGCAATACAAAGAGGAAAGACAAATCAATTGACAACGACATGACAGCTCTTCTACCAATTTGCTCCGAATTGAGGGATTAGGTGGACTTATACATGATCTATTCATATGTCAAGGCGAGTTGTTCCTCTTTCAGACGCATCAGAACGAATTGAAACGCTTGTCAGAGCTCTAACAGCTCTACAACCGTCTGCTGACGAATTCAGTCTCTTAAAGACGTTTTGCCTATTCAGTGTGGGGTCCGATCTCGGTAAGTGCTTGTATTACTTTTTTTTGTTTTTTTTTTATTGCTCTAACAAGTATTTGTGAAAAAGAGAATACTTTGTCACTCTTAACTTTTAGCGAATCGAGTAGAATTTGAACATCTTTCATCCCTGTGCGTTCTCCTCCACCAAAACCTTCCAGTCTACATCCACACATGCCTTCCAATTGGTTTGGAGCAGAAGGAGGCCTTCCTACAGTGTCTAACGTTGATCGAAAGCCTTCCTGATGTAATCTCTTGCCTGATTCGTGGAGCCTTCTTGCAGATATTCGACTGCTCTTTCGAGAACTTAGACTATATGATTGAACGGATGACCTTTGCTGCTGTCGAAGCGGCCAATCAGGCCACAATGAAACCATCCTAACTCCTCCGTCCCCTGGTTTGGCAAATGCCTTTTTTCTAATGCCACTTTGCCATATACATATGCCCAAATGATTGACTCCGTTCTGCAAGAGTAGAAAAACTAACTAACAAACTTGCGCGAATTCCTAACGCTGTGCTCTTCAAAAAGCTACCAAAAGTTAAACTGTGTTTTAAAAAACGTCACGCACTTGGATACACACCCTTTAAAATCAGAAATAAGTAATTTGTAGCAGATTGTTTGCTTTGTCCACAATGGTGCAGAGTCTAGTAGATGCTATGATTAGAAACAACTGCCCACCTTCGGGGCTCTGCTACCATGTCCTGGCCGGCGGAACATCTGATTAATTTGAAGTGTCCTTGTTTATCTTCTACCTGCGCATATCTCATTTTGCCAGTAAATTTTTTGGTAAAAACTGACAAGTAGAGCACATACTACTACCAAGACTTATCAGTAGCGATTTCTGCAACTAGGTAAATTAATAATAACATCGCTATATTTTGCCTGAAAAGGACCAAATTGCGTTTGGGCAGCTACATGCCACCCAAAAAAACAGCACATGTAGAAGATTTACACGATGTTGAGGAGGATTAAGTACAAAATATTTCTTCCCCTCACCCCACGAGCATTGCATTCTACGCGGATAGTGCCGCTTTGACCTTGGCTTGGGAGGAATTGTAAATAAAGAATGAGCAAACCTATCATTGGTAAAAATTTCAGCTTTGAAAATCACAACTCACTCAACCACGTTTTTGCTTAAAATTTTGCCACCAAAGAAAAGAAATTTTCACAAAAGGCATCACAAGATTTGGAATTCTATCACTACTACAGCGAATGGGATGAGATTTTCTCAACACTCCAAATTGTTGCAGAATTTTTTTTGCACAGGTTGTCTCTGCACACGAGATGAACAGCAGGCAATGGGCTTATAAAAGCATTCTCATGAAAATTTTTATTTTTAGTGCCATAAAATAATTTGCACAAACCTCTTGATCAGGAGTGAAGCTGCTCACAGATGACCCAAAGCTAGGATCGGCAGATAGATAGCCTTGCGGAAGGTGCTACTGACATCTCAGACGACGAACACTTGGTGCTTGGCACTCAAACGACCAGTCATCGGCAGGTCACAAATAATGCGATCAGTTTGACATTCTCAAAGCGGGTAATTCAGACCCTTACCCTGAGTGCGTTCAAGCACAAGCAACAACGTCCTACGCCATGCCGTATGATAAACAGGAATTTCCATAGCGCAAATCGGAGATTTTTAGGGTCTCGTGAAGTGTATGCACAGCTGAGTTGCTCAAAGTAAACAATTCAGGGACGAGAGAACACGCTACAAAGCATCCAACATCACACTACTACCGTCTGACCCTTCGTAAGTTCCACAATGGACCTGACTTTCGGTGAGGCATTCCATGCTGATAAATAGGCGAAGCATTTCAGTCTGAGTTGGTACTGACATATCGTCGAACCCGTCTATGGTAAAGGTGCCTTCAAATCTCCAGTCATCTGATGCTTATGAGGCGCACAAAGGCGGTACGAGTGGAAGGAGATCACGTGAAATCCACGAATTCTGTCCTCCCAACACCCAAAATATATCTTCCAATCTTAAAGGTAGCCAAGTCGTGCACACCCACTGACAACTACGAGAGTAGCCAGCAAAGGAACGATCTCAGTCTGTTCATTCTTAGGAATAAAGCTAACCTCAAAGCGAATCGTGTAGGCTACATTAAATTACGAATTTCCCTGCGGAATTTTAAAGTTATCTCTACTTACTCTTCTCCAAATTGAGATGGTCAAAGGGTAATGTGATTTAAGTGTTGTAAATCTGGTCGAAGGAAATAGGCGCACCCGTGCTTTGAAAACAAGTAGTAAAGAAAATCGAAATTTTCGGAGTATTTGAAATCTTGCTTCGGTACAATGTCAAATAAGCCTCTTGAGGGCTGTATTCAGTTCTAGTGGACAGGCTCCAAGCCCTTACACACGCTGCTATTACGTGTGCAATGATACTACTTATTACAATTTCAGCGAAGAACCAGGAAGTAGAAGTAAACTTGGTAGAATGACAAAAAGGCGGTCAAAGTAAATTCAACACTAAGAAACAAGGTTTTCGATGTAGAAGTACACATTAAAACGAGATGTAGAGGAACTCAAATCAAGGAAAGAGGAACAGAAGGGTGACCAATAAAGACGTTTTGAGTCTTACAAGGTCAAATATGGCTACACAGTTCAAGAGGAAGCAAGTTTTAGCAAATTCATTGCTCAGAATTACCATACATAACTTTCATCAAAAGGCTTTTGCGGCAAGAACACTGTCGGTAGAACAGGAGGAGGCAAAGGAGGATCCCTGAAGGGAAGTGTAAACAAGTAGGTTGAACACTCATCGAGCTAATTATTATAGTAATGTCTGAGAACGTACAAATACATTTTCCCAAAATTCTTCTGGCGCCAATTCCGTAAAAGCAGTGCAAGAAGGACGATGAAAAGCACCGCTCCTAGACATCCGAACACTGCAGACAGAATAGTCTTGGCATTCCCATACTTTTCAGAGGTGCTTACTAATGCTAAAGGAAGAAAAAAGCATCATATAGAGTTCTTAACATTTTATTTAAATGCATTTGTATGCAAAATCAAACTCACTCTCAGTTGTTTGGTTTGGAAGAAGTTGTGAGCCCTTACCACCAGATGGTTCTGTCCATCTTGAAGTGTTCCTTTCTATTAAAAACAATGCTTATTGGTAAAATTCAGCAACCCTTAGATGTGTTACAAAAGTAACCGAGACCAAAACAAGGTCTGCAGGTTTTAAAATATATCAAAGCAGTAAAAAAAAAGAGGAAAAAAAAATCATACATTAGAAAAAAACATTAAAATCCAAAACAACTAAAAATTTTAGCAACAATTAAGTGAGCGGTTTCAAAAAATTGGCTTTACATATAAAAGTTAAAATACAAAAATCTAATAGGCTAAAGAAGATTGTGCTGGTAACAAATTGGCACAGATGATAGATGCAAAAATGTCAAAAATAGCATAATTAAAATATTGGATCAAAAATTTTCACAACAAAAATAACGTTAGGAGAGTTCAAAAAACAACAAAAAGAAAATAAAAAGTGCCATACATTCAACTAAAAATAAGTAAAGAAAGGAATAACCAAATTTGAGTAGGAAAAACAAACACAGAAATAGTAGGCACACAAAAGGCACCAAGTGTGTTGTGGTAGAAAAAGGTGCTCCTTGGAAAACAAATTTACGCAACACCT